ATAAATTCAGATTTCGAGGAATTTTAAAAGGATGTAATAATAGCTGGAACATTTCAATAGGATTCTACTTGCTGTCACTCGGTTCCATGAAATTCTCCACCGATTACAAACGCGGCTATGGAACAATATAACCGTGCATCTACGCGCATGAAACGGATTTAAATAAAAAAGCAAACACTTTGCCGACGCGAACGCGAAAGCTAGTGGTATTCTGAAAAGTCTACCGTTCCCAGTCGATCTCTGATCCGGGAACGATTCAAAAATATCGGCGCCTCTGCAGACAGTGAAAATACATAATGTCGACACAGAGCTTCCCCAGCGACTGTATCCCCGGTCTCTACGTCACTTCCGTTTTTGTCGATTATCCGCAGGCAATGTTCGCCGTTTGTTTCAAAAATAGCGTCCAAAGTGACGGGACCGTTTCGGATCGGAGGCTGCGCCGACGGGGCAGCAGCTTCTGGTCAGATAATTTTCCGGTGAACAGGTTAACACGTCGATTGCCATGGGTGCGGGTCACCGGTGAACCAGCGACTTCGAAATTAACTATCGAGTTTCAATCAAACAAACGGTAATATCGGGCAAATTTTCGACGCCGTTAAACGGCCATGTAAAACAACGAACGTTGTTTCGTGAATTATTCTTGCCTTGTTCCGATAATTTCACGTTCTCGACGCAATAGTGTACGAGATGGCGTTGAAACAGGCGAAAGCGAAGACGCTCTCTGGTGTCGATCGATTGAATTACAGCGTACGAGGCACTCACAGGTTAACCCTTCTCCGAGTACGGCTCTTAAAACAATTCGCGACAGCAATATATGACAGCATTAAGCAAACGATATGATAGTATTACGAAAAAAATGTCGAGATTATAACGATGAAGTTAGAAAATATATTTACATTACGCTTAATGGAGATACGGGCCGCGGTGGCGCTAGTGAGTTAAACGAAAACCCGTGTTAAGGTAGATAGTTAATCCTTACTATCTGGAAATTTACCAATTTCTGTTTTGCAGAAGTAATCGTGTCAACAAACCAGTCATCACGTGAACAACCTATATTGCAAAAATGCTAAAGAATCTAAAAAACAATCTCAAAAATCGCAACGAAAATTAACTAATCAATCTTTCCAATTTGTGACATACTTAAAACGCAAACTTTTGGTATTTATTTATATTTTATCACGCTGGTAAGCACTATATCGCGAAAGAATCGGAAGCTGTGCTCTCCCAAGGGAACCGAAAACCCGAAACCCTAGCCCTCGAATCCCAGACCCGAACTCGCAAGAGACACTTCACCCACGAACGACACGGAACCATCGGATGGCAGACGATGGAGAAGTGGTCTCGATAACAACGAAACTCGAAGAGAGCCTCTCGGAATCGATTGGAGCAGCGAGGATCCCCCGACCGGAAGATCGATCCTCGCGCGGATTACCATACGCGGCGCGGCGCACTGGCTGGCAACTTATTATCGGTTATTTATCACGGGTCGGCCCGTGACTGAAATTTTTCGCGGCGTATCAGAGGAGCCTGCGAGATCCTGCGCCGGCGAGCGCGTTCCACTTGCGAGGCGCGATCTCGCGGTGAGAAATGGACGGGCCATTTACGCGGCCGAGATCGAAGGCCGTGGAGCAGCAGCGCGTTACCACGGCAAGCTGACGCGGGCTGCATCGAGCGGAGAAAGAGAGAGATCTGGGCCACTGGACGGTCGACAAAAATGCAACAAAAACGGCGGAAAATGCAGCTCGGAATTTTTGATCTTCGAGGAATGCTGAGGATAGATGTGTGCACAGCTCGTATGGCCTGTGTTTCCTTCAACTGGGTTCGAGTGAATGAGTGAGTGAGTGAGTGAGTGAGAGGGAGGAAGATATGGAGCAGGTCTGAGAGGTCCATAGAGTGCTGAGAATAGGGGTTCCCGATTTTTTGGGGGGTTACAGAGGGAACGTGAAAATGAGAGGACTGGGATATTAGGAATTTGGATTTGGATTAACGAGACTTGAATGGAGGATTACATTATATTACGGAAGATTTTGATAGAGCGATGTTACGCGAGAATGTAAGTCACGATAAATCCGCAAAAAGTGAATTCAAGGCGAGAAACCACAGGCAAATGTTCCGCTTAAAAAACACCACAGCGATACCACCGCGCCCCATGTTCATACCACCTAACCCCATCCATCACCTAAACAATCGCAACGCTTCGATACCAAACCCACAACCGACCCAACCTCCTTGACTCCCAGCCCACCCCAACTTCCACTCCTCGATCACCCAATATCCTCAACCTCCACCGTTTAACGTTCCCTCATACTCGAGAAATCCTTCATGAAGATTCACGACGAGACGAGTCGCAGGAGCTGGCACTGTTACCGATATAGGTAATACCGATTTTAGATCGGTAAATGTCAGTGGTACCTTGGCAATCTTTATTAAAATCGAAATATCTTTATATATCTGTATATTTATACATATATACTGGTCAATTTTTCAGCTTTCCAAGTAGAGAACCCAGAAACGTGAAATTTTTAGGTTATATTAACCTTTTCACTCCCGAGTTACGGAAAGAGTAGCAAACGCCCTGTCCTGAATTAATTTAACAAGTATTATTTTTGTTTAAATCTAGCAAAAACATAATCGATATATAATATCGTGCATTACGAACGTTGGGAAAGAATTTTCTAAGCTCTAACAGCTTTGAAATTCATGGACGTTGTATCACGTCCGCAGTCCGACAGTCATGTTGCAGCGTGACGTCATACGACGTCTGCAGAAGTGAAAGGGTTATGAATTCGACAAAGAACAGAAATAATACCGATATATATATCTCGGTCTCGATAATACAGTACTGCCCAATTAATCGTCTCTATTTTTATAGGACGCTTGTCTTGGATGGTGACTGTCTCGAATTCACAGTCGAAGCAGAAGGAATTAGGATTTAAAACAATCAAGCAAGATTGGTATCGTGTTCCGTCTGACACATTTCTAGTTATAATCTTAATATCCTAGATTCAATTTTTAACAATTACTGGAGCCAGTAAAGGACAATGAAGTTAGCAAAACTACTGTGCATCAGTTCCCGATAGATGCACATTAGATAGATATATTAAAATTACGTCGGTATGAAAATTATTCCAGTATTAAATCTCCAACGACGAGTCGTAGGGAAGCGCAAGATAGGTCCTGCGTGTTGCGTGGCGCTGCCGCCAGGTGTCAGCGCGCAGTTCTGAGCGCGGACTAAGCATCAACGTGCAGATCGAGTCATCTTAACCCGCGGTCTCTTCCCCGTCGGCCACCTATACGCCCGTGTAATTAGACGTAATTAAGCAACCACCTTATCCGACCGCCTTCCTACCGTTTTACTCTCCTGCCCACCTATCCGAGTCTCTTTCTTCCGTCCCTCCCTCGCGACGGCGTGCTCGCGATCCATTTTCCCGGCAACCCGTGTTCCGAGATTTCTCGCGATTTTTCCACTTGCCCGCCAGATAAATTCCCGACCCGTATAACCCCGCTGGACCACCACGCGAGTCCGCCGAGAAATCGTCTGCGGTTCCAGGCAACGCTAGATGGCGCGGTGGCGTTTTAGCGCGACAGCTTCCGGGGATGCTGGTTTTATGGCGAGTTTCCGTGGATCGCGATACTGCTATCTGACTGCTCGACGTGGCCACGTGGTTTTTCCTGCCTCGGGTTCTTTAAGCTCCGAGCTTGCTTTTCGCTGCTAACAGTTTTCGTTTCGGTTAGCTGGCGTTCGCTCGTAAGTTAGGTTAGGTTTGCTGTTGCTCCGCGCTCCAGTGTCCCGAATGGATTATGGTTCTCGGGGATATTTCGAAGTTAAGATCGCGTATGATCGAGTGATCCTGGTTGATAATTTTCCCACAATCCGTTTTTGCTGTCTATATTCACCGGGGAACGCGCGAAACTCGAATAATTTCCATTTTTGCATATCAAGAATTAATTATATACACAAAAATTGTCACCCGAAGCCTAGTCAGTCCTCACGCGATTGATTAATCCAAATTAAAAAGGAAAGCAGTAAAATAATGTCGAACGAGATTTACCGTTAAATTTGGCCGCGAAAAATGTGCGTAAGTGCAGCTGGTGGATCCAGGCTCGTGGTTAGGCAAAGTGGTCGCCCCGCGTTTGCGAAGCGAAGTTTAAAAACGATGACTACGAGTGAAACCGAACCGAAACGAACTGAGTGTGTTTATACGTGGTCAGAGTATATTCATGCCGTCGGACAAATGTGCGAACTCAATATGAAGTATTTTTAGCGCGGCTCGCTTCGAAAACGCTCGGTAGCCGAGTATTCGACTCGTGTGATTTCGAATCATTCGTTTCGCTTCGATTCGCAGGTGTTTCCCTGCGAACCGTTTCGCATCCCGACCGGAAACGATCGGTTCGAAAGTCGACGATTTCCAGTCGACTCGGGAGCCTTCATTACTCTTCCGCGTGAAAGCATCTGGATATAATATAATTGCCAACGATTGGGTCTCCGAAATTTCCCATTCGGTGCCATTGCGTTCCACTGACAGAAATAATTTCACAAGTACACGATCTTACACGAATATTAAAAGTTTGGACACGTTTGACTACGTTTCAAGACGCCTGACACGAAAATTATTGACAAACCGACGCGACAAAATGGACAACGAACGTGCAACAATCGATAGACGCGATTCTGAAACACTCTGATCCAGGAATTACTGGACACTCGCAGCTCAGAAGAAACAAACGATCGGAATTAAACTTCCACGAATGGCCAATCGTATATCTCGATATCTTGGAAAACACACAGATACCGTGAGTCAAGCCGAATCGCTTCAACGTCTCTACACTAGGCTTCGAGCAAATAAACGGCCATCCTGGACGCACGAACGCGACTCCCCTGAACCGTCTACCACGCTAGACTGGTCATCCAAGTGATCCTTAGACGACGATCGACGCAAATATAAATTGTCCGAGTAAATGGAGAGAAACATAGAAACATGCTTGGCAAATAGACTCACCTTGTTGTGTGGCAGTTGGGTGGGCACGTAGAGCGGAGGGTCCAGCCCTGGACTCGTGACCGCGTGACGTCCGATAATCCTGTCCGCGGGTTTCGCGTCGTATCCTTCCGGCTGGCCGATGTGGAAGCCCTTGCTCTTCACCCAGAACCGGAACTTACTGTTCTCCGCACTGTTCACTTCCTCACCTCTCAGTGTCCGCAAAATCCGCGCGTACTTCTTAATCGTGATAGTCTTGGTCTTGGCCAGGTCGCCGTACGTCTTGATCACCCACGGCTGATACGCGTTGAACATGCCGTCGTTCTGGAACTTCTTAGGCAAACCGGCACTATCAGTCTGACCCTTTTGCAACCCGTAACCAGCCCCGTTCACACCCGGCGCGATACCCGGGAACGGCATGGGCACGCCGTTCTTCGAGTCCATGGCGTTACCAGTGTTCCCATTACCGACGTAGGTGGCGTTCAGACCGGCCGTGGCGGCGGAGCTGAGGGAGCCACCGGTCATGTTCGAAATGTCCAGATACGACACGGACGAACTCTTGCCGAGATTGGTCGCGTTGCCGACGAACGTGGCCATAGAGGAGGACATGTAGGGAATAGGGGTCGGCATACTGAGGCCACCAGCGCAGAGACCGGCGCCCTGACCGGCGGCCATGCCCAGTCCCGCTACGGCCGCGTAGGTGGACACGTCGGACATGTTGGACGAGGTCTGCCAGCTGTTGGACAGCACGCTGTTGGGCCCAGCGTCGGTGGACACCGTCGGGGACGACTTGGCCTGAGCGTTGGACCTCGACACGGAGCCACCACGGCTCTTGGACGACGGACTGGTCTCCGGCGAGGACGCGTTGGACGAGGACGAAGATGTGGCCTTGGTGGCGCTAGTAGACGTGCCGCGGGATTTCTTGGTCGGCGGCTCGTCCCGTGACGAGTTCATGGAGTTGAGGTTTCCGTGGGACGGGCTGTTGTTGTTCTCGGACCTTGAACGTTTGCTGGACGAGCTCGCGTTGGATTGGCTGGACGGGGTCGGCGAATTGTTCACCGCCACTCTGCGACGGAGACCCATTGTCGCGCTGGCCATTATTCCTGGCTATATTTAGTGCCGACCGCTAGCCGGTTTCCCTGCTGACGATCGATTTCACACTGTCACTAGTTCACCGGCCGCGTCGTCGTCGATCACCGAAACCGTCAGCCGCCAGCATTATCGTTCGGACGCGGGTACACGCGCCGACAGACGGAGACGCGCACACTGGGGCCAACGCAGCGAGAGAGATGGACGGTACACGCTGGGTCGAGAGACAGGGGTTGGTCGTCGGTGGCGCGCTGCCTGTTGTATATCGACGTCCGCGATGTCCGTGGCGACGGTCCAGTCGTTGTCGTCGCTTCCGGGATGCCGCGGAAAATCGACCCGCTGCAGCTCTCTAGGTGTCGAGTCTGCAAGAGAAAAAGACCAACGGTTATGTGTCACAAGCGGAATCAGTTATGCGCGATTAAGCGCCGGAAACGTTTAAACCTGGCCAGGATCGCTAATCGACCGTCGGCCAAGTAACCAGACAGGGTAATAACCGCTGAAATTCGCCTAGGGAAAATTCCTCTCGCCACGCCTTTCTCCTCGGCTTGGAAAATTCTTTAAGCGTGAAATTTTCCATTTTAAATTGGGACTCGCGTTGGGCCCGATCTTGCTGCGGGTCTCGATGAGCCGATGGATGAGCTCGTCTCGAGTTGGTATCGAGTTTAAGACCCGATATTTTCGAGATTGCAAGGAAGGTGGAATTATGATTTATTTGGAGAAACGAATTATATATTTTCAAAGCTTTAACCAGAGCTTAACGCGAAAATTTTATATATAATTCGCGTTTTGTGTAAATAGAAATTGTAAATAGAAACGTGCGAGAAGGATGGAAGAAAGGTTTTTGTTGGTTGAAGAAATTAGAAAAATGACGATTGATATTAATTTTGCAGCGGAAACTATCGTTTTAATAAGCTTAGACAGCTTGGAGAGCTTGTATTGTAAATAGAAACGTGCGAGAAGGATGGGAGAAAGGTTTTTGTTGGTTGAAGAAATTAGAAAAATGACGATTGATATTAATTTTGCAGCGGAAACTATCGTTTTAATAAGCTTAGACAGCTTGGAGAGCTTGTCAGCACGTCAGAATCCTTATCTCGTTCGAGAAGACTGTCAAAGGACTGGTGTCTGTCAGGATTAACCCCGCTGATGTGTGAAAGAAAGCTTTATGAACGCGAGCCGCATTTCCGTCTATCATCGTAACGCGTTCTGCTCTCTCTAACGATGTGCCTAACTAAAATTCAAAAAACATTCTTGAAAATATTGCCAAAAATTCCTCCATGACAATCCACCCAAACCCCAAAACGATCGTACGCAACTTAATCCATCGTTCACGCACAACAGTCCCAAACGGACCCAATTATAAAACAAAACAAAAATCAAAAATCGAGAAAAGAAAGAAAATTCGTGGACCTTTAAAAATCCAAAAATTCCTGGATCACGATCCACTCGATCCTAAGATGATCGCGAGTTACTCCGCGACTTGGACGCATCGCTCACGCACACCAGTCCCAAACGGACCCAATTATAAAACAAAACAAAAATCAAAAATCGAGAAAAGAAAGAAAATTCGTGGACCTTTAAAAATCGAAAAATTCCTCGATCACGATCCACTGAATCCTAAAACGATCGTACATTATTGCACAACTTAATCCATCGCTCACGCACACCAGTCCCAAACGGACCCAATTATAAAACAAAACAAAAATCAAAAATCGAGAAAAGAAAGAAAATTCGTGGACCTTTAAAAATCCAAAAATTCCTCGATCACGATCCACTCGATCCTAAGATGATCGCGAGTTACTCCGCGACTTGGACGCATCGCTCACGCTCACCACTCCCAGACGCACCGAAGCGTGAAAGAAAAGGATTAAAAAGAGAAAGAGAAAGAGAAAGAAAAGAGGAAAAAAGAATTGGCGGACGATTTAAAGATCCGATAGAACCGTGGCCGTGGGGATCGATAGAGAAACGGAGGATTCATGGTGGCGGAGTAACGAGCCGCGACGCTGGCCGTCACGCGAAAAACGACGTTCGTCCTGTAGAGGATCGCGAGACGCGAGAACGGCGAAAGAAGCTCGGCGGGGTGGGGGTAAGGCTCGTAATGGTGGGTCGTGCCGGTTGTCGTTCGGCCGCTACCACGAAGCTACAAATTCGCGCGTCAGCCGACTATTCGGGCCCGTGCATGCGCGCCGCTAATGGATTTTCGTAAGACAGGTGTTAGAACGGCGGCGCGACATAAATGGTATGCAATTAGACACGAGCGCGACTCGGACGGCGCGGCGAATTAGGAAACCGGTTATTTAACCAGCCACCGACTTCCTTCGCGTGTCGTGACCGCCCAGCCATGTTGCAGCGTCGCTCTATGCAAGTAGCGGGACACGTGCCGACTTCCAACCATTTTTTAACCAAATCCACCGAAAATTTGAAAACTATTTCACCGTGCAAAAAACCACCGAAAGTTTGCCAATTATTTTGTTATACAAAAATCGATCGAAAATTCGCGAACTATTTTTTTCTCTGAGAATACACCGAAAATTATCGAATTATTTTATTATACGAAAATCGATCGAAAATTCGCGAATTATTTTATTACGCAAAAATCGTCCGAAATTTTTCGAATTATTTTATTATACGAAAATCGATTGAAAATTCTCCAACTATTTTGCTATAGAAAAATACACCGAATGTTTTCGAATTATTTTATTATTACACAAAAATTACTCGAAAATTCGCAAATTTTTTTATTATTAATTTAACTCGTAATTATTAAAATTATAAATAAGATGATTTCTTGCAAGATTTAAATACACTATATACGTTTCGTTTTGGACACGGTATAAGTATCGCGAATTTTACAACATAATAGGAACAGTCTGAATGATTTCCGCGAAAATATTTATTTCTCCTTTTGGAAATACGACAAGAAGACGATGATTTAAGGGATTCGCGATCCACGAGTGACTCGCACAGGGGATGCGTTCCTTTTTTATTCCAGCCACGCTATTTTGCTGTACCTTTTTTCAAAAAATTTCACGCAGAGGGTTTATTCGATACGAATTCTGGGATAAACAATTTATCGGTGGCTGTGATTTTGCAAACTATTGGGAAACCAGCAGAATATTTCGCCCGAAAATCAATCAATTTCATAAAACGATCTGGCCTTTTTCATATTCGTTTAATGTTCAACTCCCGCGAGTTGTGTTCGTTACGAATATTATGAAAAAGTAATTTTCCAACCAATCTGTTAAAAAGAACTTATTCTCCTTCGCAAAAACAATTGTTTCATCTCACGGGGAAGAATATTAGAAGAAAAAGATCATAATTTTGGAAACATCGATTCTCTTTGAAAGAAAATAAATTATAGAAGAAAACAAGAAAACAAGAAAATAGGAAAATAGGAAAATAAATTGTCGAAAATATTAGGAGTTAGGTGTCAGGAATAAAATGCGTAAAATCATTATTTTCGAGGAATGCAGCATGATTTGATTTGAGAAATGGAATATTCGAAGAGGATCACGCAACGTGTCCGTTAATTATCGTAAGCCACTCTTCTCCGGCAGCGGAGAAAGGGGAAAAGAGGGGAAAAAGAAGGAAGGCGACGGAAAAATCGTTCACGAAAATGGAGAAGCGAACTTTTAACATCCCCTCGTCGCGCGCACCCTCTGCCGTTACGCCCCATGATTCCAGCCCTATCTCAGATCAAACTAACCCCCGCGTCGGCCTGTTATGATCGAGACGAGACCCTCTTCGATCGGCGAATGGAACCATCGGCCGTCTTCCAACTTCAATTTTTCTACCCTCCCTGCAACGATATACCGTTTTTAATTCTGTTTAGAAAATTCAGAAGATCCACCGATTTTTCGTTTATTTTTAAAAGGTCACCAAGGAAGAATCCATTTTGAAAAATTTTCTATGCAATTTTATCGATGAAACTCCAATTCAATTATTATTCTTTCTATGTTTCTTTTTTCTGTTTGCTGGTGCAGTAAATTTGTCAGACGTGTTGTCAGAAACCATCTTGGACTCGAGGAGTAAAGGACTTGAGTATAGTTCTAGATTAATGTCAATTTATTGCAATATTTTTTCCCGACTGATTTGTCACCGTATGAATTTGAATTTGAATTTTAATTCTATTTAGAAAATTCAGACTGCGAAGATCCTTCGATTTTTCGAGTATTTTTAAAGGGCCGCCAAGGAAGAATCCATTTTGAGAAATTTTCTATGCAATTTTATCGATGAAATTCCAATTCAATTATTATTCTTTCTATGTTTCTTTTTTCTGTTTGCTGGTGCAGTAAATTTGTCAGACGTGTTGTCAGAAACCATCTTGGACTCGAGGAGTCAAGGACTTGAGTATAGTTCTAGATTAATGTCAATTTATTGGAATATTTTTTCCCGACTGGTTTGTCACGGTATGAATTTGAATTTGAATTTTAATTCTATTTAGAAAATTCAGACTGCGAAGATCATTCGATTTTTCGAGTATTTTTAAAGGGCCGCCAAGGAAGAATCCATTTTGAGAAATTTTCTATGCAATTTTATCGATGAAATTCCAATTCAATTATTATTCTTTCTATGTTTCTTTTTTCTGTTTGCTGGTGCAGTAAATTTGTCAGACGTGTTGTCAGAAACCATCTTGGACTCGAGGAGTCAAGGACTCGAGTATAGTTCTAAGTTAATGTCACTTCATTGGAATACTTTTTCTCGAATGGTTTGTCAAAGGATTCGCGGTGAATTCGAATCGAGTTCCGTATTTTAATTTTAATTTCGAGCGGTTTAGTATGAGAAAATTTTAATTGGTACTTTACTGCGTACCATTTACCATTTTCCTCCGCTCCATTCCCAGCGTCACGATTTTTCGATATTATGTCTGACTGAAATTTATACACGAGCTGCGTTTAATTTTTAATCCACGAAATTTAAATTACCACGGGAATTTCGTCCATGAAAAATACACCGGTCGTAAGAATTTCTAATGGTACTTTACCATTTACCATTTCTCTACAATCCTCTCCTGACGGCTTGATATTCTTCCATACCGCGTTTAATTTATTCGATATTTGAATGCAGGCGAGATACTGCGAGAATTCCAAGTGCAAGAGGCGATATTCGGAGTGCGTGCATGTACGATAAGGCGGAAAAATCGTCTGGGGCCTCGGGATGCGCGCGACGAAAAGGGTTATTAGCGGAAATCGGGCCGCGTAATCGGAGCAGATTTTGTTTTCGTAATTATCGCGACCGATACGAGAAGCGTAACGAACCGGAGGTACACAGAGATAGGCCGCGTGAGATAATCGCGCGAGCAAACCCAACGGCGAACGCTAATTCAATAATGCCGATCGCGGACCATACGCAGCGATAGCCTGGC